GACAGTGAAGTGTCGGACGATGCCATCATTTTCACAGACCTTATTAAAATGATCATTTTTGTATTCACCTCCATTGTCTGTGCGAATACACTTGATCCTCCTGCCTTTTTGATTCTCCACCATCATTTTCCATTTGAGAAAAATTCCCAACACTTCATCTTTGCTCTTCATTGTATACACCCACAATTTTCGGGAAAAATCATCAACAAAGGTTACAAAATAGTGCTTCCCACCTAATGAAGGTGTTTTGGGAGGACCCCAAACATCATAGTGTACATAATCCAAAATACCTTTAGTATTATGGATCGCTGTACCAAATTTAACCCTTGTTTGTTTCCCTTTGACACAATGCTCGCAAAACTCCAAGTTGCAAGCCTTTACTCCTTTTAACAATCCTTGATCTGATAAAGTTTTCAAGGGTTTACCTCCAGCATGTCCCAAGCGCATGTGCCATAGCCTGGTTGTTTCTGCCTCTTTTTCGTCACTGGATGTTACTATCGCTGTCCCAATAACTGTACTACTACGATAACGGTACATGTTATTGTTCTTCCGATTGGGCTTCATTACCACTAGTGCACCGGAGCATACTCTCATCACTCCATTTTCTGCAATGATTTTGAACCCTTTTGATTCTAGGGCTCCCACAGAGATGAGATTCTTCTTCAAATCCGGTACATATCGAACATCTGTTAATGTTCTGATCATTCCATCATGGTTCCTTAATCGTATTGAACCAATGCCATATGAGGTAAGAGGGCTGTTATCCGCTGTGTGGACGACTCCATATTCTCCTTCTTGAAATTCCACAAACCAGTCCCTGTTGGGACACATATGATAGCTACAAGCCGAGTCCATCAACCATATGTCTGATGATGTTGATGACTCTGTTGTAACTAATGAGAAGTCTGAATCATCACAATCAGCTACATTTGAATCCATAATGGCCTTTCCATTGTTATGTTTGGCCTTATTCTTCAACTTCGGACAGTCTTTCTTCCAGTGCCCTTTTTCTCGACAAAAGGCACATTCATCTTTGCTGGGTCTAGATCTTGACTTGGATCTTCCCTTCTTTGTCCTCATTTGATTTTGAGGACGATCTCTCACAACCAGTGTTTCTCCTTCTCCGCCCTTTTGTTTTTCTCTCTTTCTTTGTTCATAGTTGTACAAAGTCGAACAAACTTCTCTGAGAGAAATTTCGTCATTCCCATGGAGTAAAGTAGTTTCAAGGTGCTCGTACTCATCAGGAAGTGACGCCAACAACATCAAGGCCAAGTCACCATCATCATAAGTTGTATCCATATTTTGCAAATCTGTGACCAACTTATTGAAACTGGTGATATGTTCATTCATCGTGGTACCAGGAACATAGGTGAAGTGAAACAGTCTCTTCTTCATGTACAATTTATTTTGACTGTTTTTCTTCAAAAATTTATCCTCCAGTGCTTTCCATAATTTACTTGCAGAAGTTTCCTTTGTGTATGGATATTTCTGCTCTCTAGCAAGGTAGGATCGAATGGTACCGCAAGAAACACGGTTGATAATTCTCCAATCTTCTTCTCCAATAGCATCTGGTTTTTTTTCTTCAATGGCAAGATCTAGCCCTTGTTGAAAAAGAACATCTAGAACCTCGCCTTGCCACATCCCAAAATGTCCTGATCCATTAAAAATTTCTACCGCAAATTTCGCATTTGACACAATTCTTGTCATAAGCGAAGATGTCAATGATGACGTATTGTTGACACTTGATGTAGATTCTTCTTGTTTATTGTCTCCCATCTTTGACACAAATATTATTTAATAGCTGACGACAAAAATCAAGATTATTTCCTTTCTGGTGTGGAAGATCAGACTAAGCTGCAACCACAGAGCATACTCAGACAGAACCTTGACTCAGTTACCAAAATAAATCTTTTCTGATATGGAAGATCAGACTATGCTGTAACCACAGAGTATACTTAGACAGTACCTTGGCTCTGATACCAATTGTTGTGGAAGCCAAATGTATATAGTGTGAATGAGTCACAACTACTATACCAAAAATTATGGCAGCCACCAAATAATAAATAAGACAATAAAGCAACAATAAAAGGAACACCAGAATTTACGAGGTTCGGCCAATTTTGCCTACTTCCTCGGACACAACCAATATTTTATTCCACTCCAAAATACAAGTAAAATAATACTAAAGAGAGAAGATACAAATGCCTTAAGAAGATAAGAAGGCAAATGAGAGGTGTGTTTAAATCCTAAACATTAGGCCTCCTTTTATAGGGAAAAATTCCCAAACCCAAATTGTCACCCACCGATGTGGGACTTTTGACAATCAACACATACTACCCTCCCAAGACCCCACTTGTGGGAATGCACTGAGTATGACGGTATGTTGCTGTTGTTGTTGTTGTTGCTACTACTTCTCCATTTTACTACATCAATTATGCTACTGGTGATTTGAGATTAGCAGTTGTCACCAGTCACTTGGAGAGAACTATTCATAGACATGCCCAATCTGTATCCAGGATAAGAATAGATTTTAAGAAAAGTAAACAAAAATACATATATTTATACCAATACTGAATGCATCTGAGAAAGGTTCAACGAAGAGATCAGAATTTAAATTGCACTGTCACGAGTTTTAATTCAATATCTCTGGTAATCCTAATCAAGTTACATTTCCTTCTTCTATTAATTTTATAAAAAGGAAAAAGAATAAGTAAGGTATGATTGGTGAATGACAAATTTTCTGTTGCAATATCTTTAGAGCACAATTTTGTTGTAGCGACAACATGCATATTATCTGGTCAGTAAGTTAACTTCACTTTTTACCACTATGTTCATCATGTTTTCTGTTAGTTAATGTGCATTGACCACGAGAATATAAATTTCTAGAAAAGACAAACTATGTTTCCCATGAACATCATTCATGACCTTTTTCCAAATTTCATAAATATCATTCATCATAGTTTTTTATGATATATTTAATGATTCAAAACTTATAATATTTCAAGTCTTCCACAGAGTGGGTTAATCTAGTGCCATCGTGTCACTGAGAGTTTTTTTTTCCTTCTCTTTCTGAATTTTAAGAAAAATAGTCCTGTGGCCATGCCTCAACATGGAGCACAGGATCAAAAGACGGGGGACAATCCTAATTATCCCATGGTGTTCTCCCAAGCTCATGCTAAAAAGAAGCAGCATAAACCCCACAGCCTGGGAAATGAACAAGAGCTTGGCAAGCGCCAGGACGTCTCACCGATGGTAAGGAAAACTTTGTTTCCTAAACTCATGAAAGTTCATTTACATATGCAGATACATAATACTTTGGAGAAAACTTTCCTTTAGTCATATAATACGACTTTTCTTTGGTTTGGTAAAAGCATGATAAAATCCACAAGATGAGTATCATAAAAATGTGAATATTAACATGAATGTTCTACCATACATAGAAGATAAAATGAGATAACGTCACCTGGATAGTTTGGTGATATCCTGCGTAGACTCTCTATGTGAACTGAAACACAGGACAATATGATGTTGGCTTACCTCTAAATTTGGCATAGATCTCCATATGCATTGGTATGTTGTTACGGCAATATGATCATTGAAAGTGATAAAAGAAGATGAGCTATACCTAAAATCACATGACTAGAAGTTATCTCAAAGATCTACAATATCTCGGATCAGTGCATTATATAACATCCCTCATTAAAATAGTCATTTTCCTCCCTTCCTATTTTTACAGTTTTACAGTGATGGCCACAAATAGAAACTGTTATTTGTATTTGACGTGTTCTCTTCTGTTCCATATGTAATTGGTATGGATGTAAGAAAAAGGAAATTGAACCATACCTAAGATTAAACTATTCCGGTATTCCTTAAGTAGCAACACTTCATTTCTTTTCCTACATCCTTGCATTAAACTGAAATTGCAGTAGTCAATGTGGATTGTTGAATTTCAATAGAATGCATATAGCCTGCTAAGAATGAAAAATTGTTTTGACAGTAACACCAGCCACTGCCAGAAACAACAAGTGATCATTACTGCACCTAGATGTCTTACTTCATATGTGAATCTATAACCTTTACAGTAATCTCTCCCTCAAATTGCTTATTTAGCTAATGAGTAATGTATTCATTATGTTCACAACTTTAATCATGCACTGCAAAGTTGTATTAGTCATGAATTCCATAATAATCATCCATAAAATACTATGAGCTTTGTAAACGGAAAATACTCACAAGCTCTTAATAACTTATCAGATGGTTTTCTAAATCTGTAGAAAACTGGTTGGTTGTCTGTACCTCAATTTGGAGAGTGGGATCAAAAGACTCCGAGCGAGACCAATTATTCTGTGGTGTTCTCTCAAGCGCGCGCCAACAGGAAGCATCACAAAAGTGATTTAACTTATCGTAGCTATGATTTTGAGCAGGACCTTCTTTGCAGGGAGCGAGAGCAAGCTGCCAGGGTAAGACATCCTAAACTCAAAAAAAATTGTGTTACACGGTAAACGCATCTTCAATACTATGCATTATAAGATTCTCAAGACAGAATTTCCTCAAGTAACTGAACATAAGTGCAGATTGGGGTTTGTTCAGATCCATATTCGTACTTGCTTAACGCCCTAGGATCAGAACATGCCAAACATTATATACCAACATAGCTTCCATATACATTGTAGTTATGCAAGTTGTAACCGTACCTCTAATCATTTTGGACATGTCCTTTGTGCAGAGGAAAAAGAACAAGTTCCTGACCTATCTTAGTTGCTGTCTTCCTGTATGATGCCGTGGTTTTTTAGTGTGCGCGAGCAGCCTCCTTTTAACAGTCTTGACCTGACTATTTCTCTCATGTGTTCTTAAAAGTAAGCATGAGAGAGTTTTATCAATTTTTCAGTAGGGTATATGTATGCATCCAAGCCTCTTGCTTGGAGTAAAACTCAAGTAAATATAGCAGTGTTACAATCAATAGCTATGTGATTCTTGGTATCTGTTTATTTTCTGCATAATGAGGTAAAATCTTAATCTCCATTCAGTAATCCAGCTATACAACATTGTACAATATCCTTTATGGAATAAACATCAATTTGACTAAATAACATTATGTGCCCAATGGCCTAGCTACAACTGCAGGAGCGCAAATGTCCTTATGGTTCTGTATTTACAAGTGAATAGAAACACATTTCTTTTCCTGCTAAATCAAGTTGTTGACCGTTTTACTGGTGCTCTTAAGGAAGACAGGTACTTTGCGTCTTCCTTGTCTATCCCGTCAAAGAGATAACTAAAAGGTGGCATTTCAATGTACTTGCCAGCACCAGGAACAACTTTCAGCTCATCATTTTCCCAAACAATCCTTCCTCCTGCAATTGTAACTTCAACCTTTCCCTGCATAAAGAATAAAAAGGAAAAAGAAGAAAGCATAGATTTAACAAATCGCGAACGTAAAGCAGTTGCTATGTTTGAGAAGCAGTAAAAAGAAGGGGGCTGCGAGAATTGGGTGACTTGAGGGCAAGGTTAAATTATAGAAAATATACTGCATAGGAAAACATAGTGTTCCCTCTCCTGACAATAGAGATTTTCTTTATGGAATTGGACAATTACACCTTTCACATGAAGAGCCAGCATGAGAGCATAGATTCCCGAAAAATGCAATAATCGAGTACGTGAGTGCTTCTATCTATGTAAATAAAGGACATTTCAGCAAATCATATTATGAAGAATGGAAAACTGGGTCTGAAAAAGTTAAAATGAAGGTCTGATGTAGTAGTACTTTCTTACTTTTATTAAGTAAATTCACTAGAACATCAAACAATACAATCACTGTATTCGACAAAGTTCTGCAACATACTTTTGGCAAGGATTATAGGATAAATAAAACTCAATAATTTGCGAATGCTTACCTTGCCTCTCCAACCCTCATAGACATTGGTATCTGTTCTATAATGGTGTGACTTTGAACTAATCTCGAAGCTCGAATTTGGATTTAATATGATTATATCTGCATCAGACCCAAGTAGTACTGCTCCCTTCCTTGGATAGATATTGAAAATCCGAGCACTACAACACAAGATCAGGTATTTCCAGTTAAGCTTCCGTTATAAGACAGTTGAATTCGTACAGCGGATTTAAACCAAAAAAGAGAGTATAAGCATTAGGCTGGAAGATGGAGATTCAGATTGAAATAAACATCAGAAGATCTACAAAAGTTTTGGCTCAAGTTTACCATTCAGTGCTTGTTATGCGAACATAATCAGTGACAGATATTTGACCAGATGCCTGACAAAAAAGTCCTAAGAAAGTAAATAATATAGTTGCATATCACACAATTCATTTTAGCATCATCTCATATTAAGAACAATATATAATGGTGCAGCTTACCACCATAGTATCCCAAACCAAATGCATCCTTTCCTCCATACCTATACAGAAACGGGTTATACTGAAGAACTTCAGTATACCGTAAAAGGAAGCTAAAGACAAAGCGATAGATATATGAAAGGAAAGAGAAAACTTTGCATACCATTAACACCATTTGGTATTTTCCGGAAATCACCAATTCCTAGGGCTTTCTGAGTTGAGTTGAAGGTACAGTGATCAGTTCCTACCAGCTGCAAGAAAAGAATACCAATAACTTCCATCTTGCTCATATGAGTTGATGGACAGAATCATACGACGGGGAAAGTGGAATATTCAGATATGGCCTATGGAAGATGGAACCCCAAGTAGCTTTTAAATTTGCGACATCACAAAAAAGCACATTTCATATCTATACAATGATCAAGATGAAAACCTGCAGAAGCCCCGTTGCAAGAGCTCCTTGAAGAGCTGTTCCATGACCTGGTGCTCTGATTGGTGGGCTCATGACATACCTGAACTAGGAAAGTGCACATTTTATGCCATCTATGACGGGAGAAAAAGAAAGGAAAAAGAAAAAAGAAATTATAAACCACAGAGGAGAAAATGATTTTTACCTAGCTGCAAAATGGAAGTCAGGGTCCCAAAGTACTGAATCATTAAGAACTAAACCTGAAACTACTGGCTCCCCAATAACTCTCTGACCTGAAATGAGATGGTACATGTAGTCTAGAGGCATAAGTCAAGTGGCATGAAACTGGCATCTGAAGCATAGTTTTTGATAAACAACATTGACATGGAAGCAAAATAGGCTCAAATCTACAAGCATGCAAATAAGTATGTCTTTCAAAGAGCAGACAGAAACGCAAACTGATGAATTATTAGAGGTAAAAACACTACAGGTATAAGTAAAGTTTTAATTACAAGTTCCCACTTCAAAGTAGAGGAAACAATTTCATTACTGCTAGAGACCAGAAAAGGACCAAACCAGAGGAGCTCTATGGTCAATTAGGAAACACTGAACAAAAATTTTAACTCCAGACTGGGTTTGCATGAATGATTTGATGAGGCTGAAACCAAGAACTTGAAGATTACTACAGACTAGTAATTCTTAGATGGGACAAGGAATCAAGGCACATTCGCCATAAAGTAGGCATTACAAAGCCACTCATTCAAATTGTCATCAAATACACTCTTCAAAAAGTTTATGCCAAACCTGACTTCCGAGCTCTGGCAATTTCTTCCATCGCGTCAATGCTCATGACATGAACAACATACAGTGGAGTGTTCACAAAGCCAGCCAAACGAATAGCTCGAGCAGTAGCCTCTCCCTCCAGCTGCAATTATTGATGACATTGCAAGGAACAGCATTAGGAAAAGTTAAACAAAGAATGAAATAGCCTTGCCAAATCAAAGCACAAAAATTCATAGTCACAGTGGGTGCATTGTTGGCTAGAAAGAACAGAAATACGAAAAATAACAACAAACTTGAAGAAAACACCATAATCTGACAAATATTTAATTCATATAATTATGAGTACCTAATATTGTCCTAATCCCTTCTGCTATGTAGCATGAACACTTCTGAAATGTCCGTGTCCCTGATTATCCATGACTTACAACTATAGTTACCAAGCTTTGCTGTGTCCAAAATTTCTTCCAATTATCTGACCAACGATCACACGTCTATCCTAAGCCGTCAATATATGCAGAAGATCTAAACATGTTTATTACTTATTCATATGTAATTCAATTATATGTCTACACAAAACATAGCTTATTGAATTAGCCCATATAATCAGTTTAACCCACTAATAGAAATAAAACTAGTACCTCCATTTCTTCATCTCAATCACCTATAATTTATCTAGAAAGCAAGTTCTGTCATGTCGAACAATTCACTCACATTTGTTTCTATGCTGCACAATTCTCATCCTACTCTTAATTAATTAATTTCACGAAAGAGAATCAGCAGAATATAATACCGCACTTTCACATTGTACATCAAAAAAGAATAAGACTCGTAGATATTATTTGGTGAGGTTGACCGTTGACCAACGTAAGCTATTACAACGATGAATACTTTTTCTTTTGAGACGCAGTTGGCGAACTGTTAAAACTTTTTCTACCAAAAGAGAAACAGCACAAATGTTTAAGAAAGAGAAAGGGAGAATTCCAAAGGAGCCTTAACCACATAAAAGCTTAAAGTAAAAATACTTCACTTCACTATCTCTGTTGAGTTGTCACAGATAGAATCTATATCTCATAAGGTTGGTCAGCATGCCTTAATATCTCATCTCAAAATATTATGCCTTGTAATATACATTTTGCTAGAAAATGAAGAATATTTCCTACATCTCAATGTCCTAGACATTATTCTCTGCTCTTATCACTTTGCTGGTTCTAAATAATGAGAAAGAATAACCATCCTACAGCACAAATGCCTACCAAATAATTAGTTCATTCTGGAAATCAAAGCGCCATTATTTGGTGGCAATGGAGAAAAAGTACATGCATGTACGTTGACAAGCTAGGAGATAAAGGAAAAAAGTAAAGCAGCATTATCCCTAGGTATGAAAGCTCAAGGCAAAATTGGTTGACTTTACCACTGGAGGCCTTGATAATGCATGTCCCTCTGGACCTGTAATACCAAGTTCAATCATTCTTTTTTGACCTTCAAATACAGCATCCCCATTTTCTGCATGAACCATAGCTAAGGCACCAAGGGACTTGCATTTCTTCAATCCCTCCATCAGAAGCTCATCATTAACCATAAAAGAGCCTTTGTAGGCAAGGAAAAACTTGAAAGAGTTGATGCCTAGGGTAAGAGAAAGATAGTCAAGAAGAGTAAAGCAAAGAGACAACAAAAAGTCAGAATGAAAAATGCTTCCCCATGGCATGCTCTGCAAGTATGAACCGAAAGTTTAAAAAGTATTCACACAAATGACACACTCTCTAGAAATAAGAACCTTTCTCCTTGACCATAATTTCCATATCCTCTGAGACAGTTTCATCCCATTTTGTAATTGCCATGTGAAAACCATAATCCATGCATGACCTCTTTGCTTTCTCTACATAAGCTTTGTAACCTGCAGATAAGCTTCCATTTACGGGAATAACAAAGTCAATATGCATTGTTGTTCCACCAGCTAATGCAGCCGCCTGTCCACTGAAGAAGTCATCAATTGTCTCAGAACCCATAAATTCCATAGCAAGGTGTGTATGAGGATCAATTCCTCCTGTCGTCATCATGAGAATAAGCAAACAATGATAAATTATCTGTCAGCCAGTTTACTAGTGAGACAGGTTTATAAGGAACAATAACTTCAAGAAAATGCTCAGATGTATATTTTACCACTCAAAGCTGAATATTTTTACATTAAGCAAGGGAATCTCACTACAGGAAAACTCTCTTTTTATTCACATGAAACTACAATAGGTAGAATGGATGTAAGAACTGCATATATGACAACAAAACGTATTTTGTCTAAAGTAGACATGCGTTATTGGTCTTTCTGGAAGAGAAAAGCAAAAATATTATTCTGATACTAGAGACGTAATCAACTGAGCACCATGGCCTTGAAGAAAGAAACTCTACCTGGCATAACAAATTTTCCAGTTGCATCTATGACTCTGGTATCATCACCAACCTGCAGATGGTCTTGTAAACTGAGATGTGCATCCTATTCAGATGAACAGCAATGGAAATACTCGCCAAACATAAAGATTATCAACCATTGAGAACATACAAAGAGTTTCAGGAATACACTCAAGCGGTAAATGGATTAAATGTGAACCATTTCGCTGATCAACAAGTGAGACACATGCTAACATGAAGACAAAGTGAAGGACCAAGAAAAGACCAAAACAATTCTCCTCAGCAAACTTCAGTGTCGTAAAAGAAGTTATTGTTATCCAGATAAGGAATGGGGAAAACATATATTCAGCAATGATGATGTGGTAGTTAGCAAGCTGGTACCAAAGTCAAAAAAGCTATTCTTTCCCAAGTAAAAGCCTATATAGGATCCTACATCCATAGATCCACTGCACTGCGCCCAGGTGGCTTTTAAGATGTCCTTGAAAATCTTGTCTTATCCATCTCTAGACTACTTAAAACATACTTTACTTCCTTGCTTGCTAGTCTTTCGATCTTGGTATACGAGGGACCAGGTTTTATTCAAATCATGAATTAAGTTGCAGAAGTTATAAGTACAGAGATTCCATTTATTTCACAATCATACCAGTCAAACTTGAAACAGATGAGAACTGTTTTTTCCGTTGTTCAGATAGTTAACCGAATAACAAATTTCTTTGTAAGACCCTTTCGTTATTCCCACATAATAAGAATAAAACACAGCCAGAAATAAATCAAAAACAATAATTGGCATCGAATTAGCTATCAGCTCATAGAGGCCAATCACAATTGACCAACCCTACTAGCTCTCCTGAGGATCATTTATTATTCACTTCCCACTCAATTAACAAACTCAAACTAAAAAGAGAAACTTTAACAGATACCTTAATGTTCGGCTGCACTGCCACGATTATTCCATCTTCTATATACACATCAGCAGCCTCCTTATGATGAGCATTCACTACTGTTCCTCCTTTTATCAGTATCTTTGATGAAACTGACGGTGGAATATTGCACCCAGAATCTCCATAAACAAATGTGGCATCACAAAACTGCAAAACATAAAAAATCGATTAGACCATCCTAGAAAAGAAACTGCTTGACATTGATACGACGATCCTATTTGTTTTATTTACTCCACAAGATTATGTGCATATGACAGTTCATATTTCTACTCATCCACCATGATTCAAATGAGAGGTCCTCCACAAATTTGAACTTTCTCGTTCATTGAGTAATGAGTACAAAAGCAGAAGGAAAAATGAAACAAATCAGTTTCTTAGAATCACACCAGAAGATTCAACTACTCTTCATTTTCAATGCATTCAAATTTAGAAACTTTCTCTAAGTTTTATCAAAAGGAAAAGCTCCAGTCTCATTTCCCTTCATGCCAACATTTTTGGCATCCAATATTTTAGTTGCATAGGTACAGAACAAGAATTCCACTACGAAGATCCAACCATTTTCCAACTAATCCTCAGTTTATTGAGAACAAAAGGACAAAGAAACAACTAACACTTAAACTTCTTAGGAATCAACAATAACAACCCAATGAAATTCCACAAATGGGGTCTGGGGAGGATAGTATGTACGCAGACTTTATCCCTACTCTGGAGGATTAGAGAGGCTGTTTCCGATCGACCCTCGGCAGAATAAGATGAAAACAAGACAGTGTAGTAGTAACAACAAAGGAATCCGGAAAGATAACACCAGCAACGTAATAACCAAAAAATAGAGAAAAGTAATAACACTAAACTGTAATAATGGCACAGTACTACGAACACGATGGAATAATATGGACACAACAAGAGCCACTAACATCCTAATACAAAACACTTCCAGACTAGCTTCCTACAACCTAACCTACAACCCTGAAGAAATACTACGGACGCAACTGGGGCCACTAGTAGCCTAAAACAAAACACTATCAGACTAGCCTCCTATCTCCTAACCTACAACCATAATGCTCGACCTCCACAACTTCCTATCACGGGCCATGTTCTCGGAAATCTGCAGCTGCACCATGTCCTGCCTGATCACCTCTCCCCAATATTTCTTAGGTTGTCATCTACCTTTCCTCGTACCCGTCAAGGTCAGCCGTTCACACCTCCTAACCGGGGGCATCCATACTTCTACTCTGCACATGCCCGAACCATCTAAGCCTAGCTTCCCGCATCTTGTCTTCCATGGGAGTCACGCCCACCTTCACCCGAATATCTTCATTCCTAGTCTTATCCAGCCGAGTGTGCCCGCACATCCATCTCAGCATCCTCATTTCTGCAACTTTCATCTTCTGGATATGGGAATTCTTAACTGGCCAACACTCTACACCATACAACATGGACAGCCTAACCACCGCTCTATAGAACTTACCTCTAAGTTTTGGAGGCACCTTCCTGTCACACAAGACGCCAGCCTCTATTTCATCCACCCCACTCCTATACGATGCGCGACATCCTCGTCAATCTCCCCATCCCCCTGGATAATCGACCCAGGTACTTGAAGCTCCCTTTCTTGGGAATGACTTGAGCGGCAAGCCTCACGTCCATGTCCGTTTCTCCCGACATGTCGCTGAACTTGCACTCCACGTATTCTATCTTAGTCCTACTCAGCTTGAAACCTTTAGACTCAAGGATCCGTTTCCAAACCTCCAACCTCTCATTAGCACTCTCACGTCTCATCAATCAGAACTATATCATCAGCGAATAACATACACCATGGCACTCTCCTTGAATATGGTGTATCAGTTCGTCCATCGCCAGAGCAAACAAGAACGGGCTGAGCGCAGATCCTTGGTGTAACCCCAGAACAACCGGAAAATGCTCCGAGTCGCCCCCCATTGTCCTAACCTGAGACTTAGCTCAATCATACATGTCTTTAATCACCCTAATATAATCCACTGGAACACCTTTCACCTCCAGGCATCTCCAAAGAACTTCCCTAGGGACCAAAATTTTACCGGAATCTCGTCTGGCCCGGTCGCTCTGCCCCTGCTCATCTCGCATAGCCCCCACGACCTCCTCGACATTAATACACCTATAGTAGCTAAAATCTGGGTGACTCTCGGAGTGTTCCAATTCACCTAGCACAATGTCTCTGTCCCCTTCGTTCTCTGCTTAATCTTAGCGTCTTCCATCAACACTCTGCCTTCCTCGTCCTTGATGCACCTCACTTGGTCTAAATCACGAGCCGTCCCCTCTCTCGGCTTGGCTAGCCGGAACAACTTCTTGTCCCCGCCTTTGCCCCCAGTTCTTCATACAGGCGATCAAACGCTGCATTCTTAGCTTCTGCGACCGCTAACTTCGCCACCTTCCTAGCTTAACTATCTTCGTTGCTCCGCCTCTCCTCCTCGTTTGTACTCTCCAATAACCTCCGATACGCCGCTTTCCTATCTTCCACCTTTCCCTGGACCTCGACGTTCCATCACCAGTCTCCCCTATGACCGCGAGTAACCCTTCGAGACACCTAACAACTCTCTCGCCGCCTCCCTTATACAGTTTGTCGTCATCATCCATATATTGCTTGCATCCCCGCTACTCCTCCAGGACCTTATAGCCTCCCCTCCAACTCCGGAGCTTTATCCTTCGTCAAGGCACCCTATCTAATCCTCGGACGACCCTGAACCACCTTCTTCTTCCTCTATATCATGATGCTGACGTCCATCACCAAGAGCCTATGTTGAGTCGTGAGTGACTCGCTCAGGATAACCTTGCAATCCTTTATAATCAATCTGAGTCTTGGCATCGTACTTTGAAAAGTAACCAAATGCTCCTCCCTCTTTGGAAAACTAGAGTTGGCAATCACCAACTCAAAATCCTTAGCGAAATCCAACAGAGAAGTGCCGCCTCCGTTCCTAACCCCAAAACCAAAGCCGCCATAAACCTCGCCATAGCCACTAGCAGACTCCCCGATATGCCCGTTGAAATCCCCTTCTTAGGAATCCCACAAGAAAGTTCCCACCAGACTGCATCTTTCTGTTCAATTTAGAAAGTACTCCTTCCTTTCCAATTTTCAGTGTTATTAAACGCGCAAAAAAGCAACAAGGTCTGTGGAGCTTGAAGTAAAAGGCGAGAACTAAAAGGCATGCGCACAATTTACAAATAATTTAAAATACCATACCTATAAGAATTAAGTACTATAATAGTCAAATTTCAATTAAAATAACCAATTTCACACTCAATGTATAATAATGCCGATATTAATCCAACATTCCAACTCATCAAAGTTGAGATTCCAAAAATCGGACTGTTTCATTAGCTCAAAATTCTTATGTATATTATTGCCATTATTGTAAAATTACAAACTTGCTACTCTGACTCTTATTGATTATTTTCAAATTTCGGACTTCCTTTCAGAAAAGGAGAATTTAATCATCTATTCGTTAAGTTCAAAATATAAGAAAGACGAACAATCAACTCAATTACACAAGTTAATCTTATTAGACTTAGGATTAGATAACAAGAAAAAAAAGGGTCAAATCAAATACAGAAACATTGACATACCTCGTTGGATGCAGAAACAACAGCGAAAATTGTGGAAAAAAGAGCAATCACATAAACCAAAGGAATCAATAACTGAACTCTGTGACAAAACTCCATTGACTTTCAGTTCCCTATAGAGCTAGAAATGTTAAACCTATAGAGTCGGAAATGTTAATATATAAATGCCAAATAATAAATGCGACTTATAATTTGCATTAACTAAATGATTTTATACGTCACATTTAACGATTGCTTTTTATAAGTCGCATTCCTGAAATGCTGCTTTACGTGTCGCTACTACAGAGAGTTTTGTAAAGTAAATTCTGGGCATCTGAAATCTTCTAACTTTTTTGGAATAATAAATAAGAAACTACTTTTAGGATAATGTAAGATAGGTTATAAAATTAACTTGTATGTGTAGAATGTCACAGCTATTACATAATTTAAAATCTAATTGCAAGTAAAATTGCACTAATACTAATACGAAAATACTTTACAATGTGAGAGATCATTTATCATTTGTTTGATTGTCATTTTTTTTCTCACTATAGCTAATACCGGTATGATTTATAATTCAATTTAAATATTATCTTAAACTTCATACAATATAGGATATCTAATATTAATATTAGCCATACTGAGTATTATTAATCTCGCATATTTATACCATATTAAAAGTACGAAGGCCCTTAGCGAAATGTTATTCGCCTTTTTTACCTTTTAAAAATAAATTTAACTTTGGACAAAATTGTAATTTAAGTTATTTTCCTAATATGTAGTACTTCAAAATTGATTAAAAATTGTACTTGTCAAAACATTCCTTATTTGAACTAAGTAAAAAAGTCCTAAATATTAGCATATTAATATAATTTATTTCCTTGTAGGTGACTTCAATTTTTGAAAACGAAACGTAGTTATCTTGCTTGTCCCAAGTTTTTGTCCATTTCTTTTCTTATTCTGGTATCAGTTTAGACTAAATAAATTAATTATTAATACATTTATCCGTTAAAGCTTAATACAACTATAAACGATAAATATATAAAATTTACCACATACTAATTATCCATTCGTTTATTTTTTCCATTCTATGTAGTTAAATTTGTGTCTCCTATTCCTAATCATGCAAAAATATATAGTTATATTTAGAATTACAAAAGTAAATTTGTTGAGTTACATATTTCTTCATTTTATATTAGCTCAAAAACTTTTATATGTTGAGAAAAAAAAATAAACAACATCTTTTTATAGCATTTTTCTTAATGTATTGGTGGTTGTGACATGGCTATGTACTAACAATATAAGTCTTTTTTTTTTAAATTATAGTGAGTTTAACTTGTGATAGCAAGTTAAAAATAATTTCTAATATACTACCAATTAATGCTTAGATGTAATTAGTTATTACCTTATAAAGAAATTTATCGTATAAATAATTTGGCATAACCTCGGTCTCTCTACAATTTCCTTCTACCAACAAAAGTTGAAAATCTTTCTCAACTTAAAAGTTTAAAAACAAAGAAACATCTTATATTTCCCATTTTAGATTAAATATGAAAGATACAAAAAGCTTTTGAAATTTTAATTTGATGAGTGTTGTACATTGTCTTCATCTTTAATTTGGCAAGAAATTATAAATAATTTACTATGTTTTTATCATAGCAATAAAAATAAGATCAAAAGATATAATTAATTACCATGTACTAACTACTAAGTACATAATATCCAATTCAAAAGAAAGTTAGAAGAATCCTATTTACTAAAATATATTTCCAAAAAATGTCGCTCGCTCAAAGAAAACGCTGTTAGCGGTGCTTTTTATTGATTGAAATAGAACAAAGATAAAAAAAATAAAAATAAAAATAAAAAAAAGTATTTTCTCTCGATTCATTGACCCTATTTATGTCTTTAGGATGAACTTGAAAATAACTATCCAAGACGTATTTTAGAAAAACTCTTAAATCTTCAAGGCTTACATATTCTTGCTAAAACTGAAAAGAAAGTTATAAAATTATGAAACAGGAATAGATTTTAAATTGAAAGATTTCTACAGGACAACTTCTTTGAGTTAACTATATAAGATCAATATTCATCCTTTTTTGGAACATATGTGTTTTATTTTATAGCTCAAACACAATTTCTCATATACTAACATTTATGAGATATTTTTTTTTTTAAATTACTCAATGACACAGGCACACGCATAACGCGCGCACTCCAAACATAAATATATAGAATCCCTACATGGGGGGGGG